TCCTCTTGAGTTTAGACCCTTGAAACACCCAAAAATGATTTAATGAAAGGAGTTTACGGCCCAGACATGGTCAAGGCCGTAAACACCCTAAATCATGCCCAAAAATTGTAGTTTTTGCCCCCCAAATGACCATAGACTATCTCTATAAAATGCTAGGAAGGAATTAAGGGCTTAAACACAAGAAAAATGAGGGATTTCTTGGAGTTTACGGCCCAAGCATTATCTAGGCCTTAAACTCCCCAAAACCCCCCTCAAATGTTGGTTTTAATCACCCAAAATGGCATCACACTTCATTAGAAATCACTAGAAAGGCATTAGGGGCTTAAAACTTCACTAAACTCAAAGATTGAGAGTTTACGGCCATAAACTCCCTTGGGAGAGTTCCTAGGCCGTAAACTCATATAAAGTACCCTTAGAAGCCTCAAATCCAATCATGCCTTTGAGGAAAAGTGCTTAGAATAATTCTATGAACAAGCTAGAAGCATCAAACAGCCAAGAAATTGACCTTGGGAGTTTACGGCCGTAAACTCCATTAGGTTGGGCCGTAAACTCCTTGTTTGGTCCATGTTGATGCTTTAAGTCCATTCACACACTTGATAATTGAGTTTAGCAAAGTTCCACAACTGATAGGAGACCCTTAGCACCCTTAAACGCTACCCGGGACCCCAAACACTCAACCAAAAGTGTTTTCCACTCCTTTGAGTGTGTAAAATTGTTTAATTAGTATATTATATGCTAATTGTATGTGAACATATGTTATCATATGTTAAAATAGGTCCTTGTGTGTGTTCAAGTCCTTGCGTGACCCCGAACGCCTAAACGACACTTCTGTCGGACCTACTTACACCAGGTGAGTTCATACCCCTGAATGAACCTTTTAAATGCTTTAAATGTTTTTATAGGGGGGGATTACAAGTTAAACATGCCAGTTATCATATCAATCACATGTGATTGATAACCCGCATGCACAAGATTTTGCCACTATACACTGTTTTTACCGAGTAGGACGCTATAACGCTTTTCAATTGCTTCAAAACTTTTACTTATACCCTTTTAAACTAAATTCATTCTAAACTGGTTTGTGAAAGATTTTCCCCAAGATTTTCAAGCATATTTTACAAAAGAATACTAAGTGTGAAATTTTCTATTCATAAAGGCTTTTCATTAAAATTCCTTTTTACATATATTTTTATTTGAAGTTATTGCTGATTCGTTTATACTTATTCCATATTCCTACTCTGTAATGCTTCCACTTATACTGATAGTCGCTTATACCTGACGATGCTTATACTTATTCACGCTCTTACTTAGTGATACGATTCTTCTTCGCTTATACTTGATAACAACTATACTTCACTTATACTTGATACGTTTCCGCTTCACTTATTGTCGCCTCTACTTCATGATACGCTTATACTTGTGCGACACTTCTACTTCACTTGCGAACGCTTTTACTTCACTTGTTAGGCGCTACTACTTCACAAGGATCACTTCTACATGAAACGCACTTAGTCATAGTTGATGTATGTCCGTTCTATATAGGTATATATATAAGTAATGATTGAAAGACTTAGGAAGGCTCGTCTGCCCTATTTCCTTTTCTTCGTTGAGATGTGGTCTGGTGGGATCGGGCAGCCGTCCGAAGGTCGTTTGGTTCATTAGTTAAATACTATGTATATGAGTATGGACATACAGGAAACTCTCTAGTCAAGTCAGTTAAGAGACTCTACCTCTATTCTACACTTACTTTAGAAACACACTACCCACTGTTTGGAAGTCATTACCTCTAGTATATCACTTACATTAGAAACCCACTCCCCTCCAGTAGCACACTATCCTCTATTTGGGATGCATCTTCGGGACGCGGCCTTCTCCGTCGTCTAGTTGGTAACCAGAGTCTCCTGTAGGGAGAGCGGACATTATGTGTATAGGCCTATACGGGATTGACAACCCCGCACCCTGACTGCTAGCTACAGTCCATGGCCCACCAAGCCAAGGGGTGACAAATGTCACATTATATAGATGCTTGTAGGGCATCTGGAACTCTAGTCAGTATGGTTACGAGTATCCTGGGTTGCCTTATAATTCATGGCTTTAAGGTAACGGTATTTCGTCAGCAATTTACACTGTATGCTGATGTCACTTTTCAGAGTCAAACTGTTTCGACCTTGCTAGCTGTATCTTTCATTTGATATTGTCTGGGGTCTATAGTGTCTGTTTCGATCTTGCTAGCTGTATCTTTCATTTGATACTGTCTGGGGTCTATAGTCTCTGTTTCGACCTTGCTAGCTGTATCCTTCATTGGATACTGTCTGGGGTCTGTAGTCTTTGTTTTGACCCTGCGAGATGTACTTTTCATTTAGTATCGTCTTCGGTCTATATTCACTGTTTTAGACCTTACCAGCTGTACCTTTCACTTGGTACCTTCTGGGTTCTGTGTCTCCCCTTTGTTAGACTGAACTAGGCGTGTCGTTAATTCAATACCCTCCTGGAGTCTATGATTCTTTGCCTTAGTCAGCAGTCCTCACTGCTGAGGCATATATTATTCCCTGATGTCTCTTGCTTTCTTTAATAATCAAATTCAGCATTTTGATAAAAATAGCAATTAAGGGAAAACTACCTCTTACCACAATACACTGAAATAGTCTTGGTAGAAGGCTGCTTTATTTAAAGAAAATATAGGATTTTCTGGAAAGAACACTGGTGCACTGAAAACACTTAAACTACTACTTATTAAAGTTATTTGACTAAATGACACTAAATACTTATGAACTCACCAGCATTTGTAAAAATGCTGATACTCACTTTTCAAATAATTTGTAATCTCAGGTCAGCAATTAGACAGGTACATCCCCGGAGCTGCTGATGAAGATGGCTTAAGTACCTTGCTGCACTTTATATATGTTGCTTGTATTACTTTGATACTATGTAATGTAACCATGTAAAATTATTACTATTAATGCAATGTTTTGTAGTACTTTGATTACTATATGCATGTGTTGTGATACTTGACATGACGTCATCCACCCCAGAACGTTTCCGCCGTTCCGGTTTTGGGGTGTGACAGTACTTGACCCGATGGTGCATGGTCCTTTTGGGTTGCCTTCACCAAAGCAACTTGATTGGAGAAATAAATAGAGAGAGAGGTTATTATGATTTATTAATATGTTATAAGAATAATATATTAAAGGAGAAATCATATTTGTTTAATTAATATTGGTCAATAATTAATTAAGAATTAATTTTGTGATCAAATGTAATTAATTAAACTAGAGGGGCTGAATTGTAATTATGTGATAGTTACAAAATAAGGTAAGGATTATCCTAAGTATAGGATGGATGAATTTAAGGTGATAATGCCTTAGAATTCGACTATGATAAGGATTCAAGGATTATCTTATGGGTTGCTTGGTAAGCAAGCAACTAGATAAGGATAATGACTGAAACCCTATCTGTACAACTATATAAACCCCCTTGGCACATGATTTCGTGTATGACCTTCCCTAAGGCTTGTAGGGAGAATTTGATACCTCCCCTCTCTCCTTATATCTTATCCATTTGCTCTTGGTGTTTGTAAGCCATTAGAGGAGTGACACTTGTGACTCTAAGCCTTCCAAAGTCAATTCAAGGAGGAATTGGGATTGTTATTGCTATATAACAATCAAGGTATGTTCTTAAACCCATTTATATGTTAATATTGATTTCCATATACTAGAATTAGGGTTTATAGTCTTGGATTCAATGCATGTGCAATAGAGAAACCTAGATCCGAGCTTTAGGGTTTGCATGAGCACATAGGATGTTGTTATGACCAAAACCCATCAGATGCCTCTCTGAAATACAACATAAGATATCAGTAATTCGCTCGGGTGTACAGACACTCGATATGCCAATCCTACTTGATCTCTAGTACCCTAAGGATTCTTACTTGGGCTGCGCATTGACCCGGTGCCTTCGGTAGTACGGGCCCAATACTACCGACCACACCATGTCAACATTCATCCCAAGTCCTCCTCCCAAAGTCCCAAATTCCAAGCACTCTACTCTCTTAAATCATATGCTACTCACTAGCTGATCTCTCATAAACTCCTTGCTGCTATCTAAATACTCTCAAGCATCCCTAGTAGCAAAGCTCCTAGACTACGACATCATATATCAGGCCACTCTAGTCCTAATAAGGATACCTAGTCTACACTAGCGTGCATATTATAGCTCATCATATAATCATAACATAATATATCTCGTAACACTTATTATAAGGGTATTTTGGGAAATCACCGTTCGGGCGCTGGCTAATCGTACACACGGCTATGCTCTGTTTTTCTCAAAACTTTTTAAATTTTTTTTTTCCAAATCCTCAGTTTGAGTTCAGATACGCCCGAAGATGCATCCGAATCCCTCAAACCAAGGCTCTGATACCAACTTGTAACACCGTAAATTTTAAGACAAATTTTCACATTTTAAAACACATTTCCAAACACATTCATTAATAAAATCTCGTTGTATCATATCATTGTTCACAAAACATTTCCCAAGATCACTTCCTAACACTTAAGATAAAGTGGTTTCACGCATCGAAGTGTATTATCTTACTTAATTAGTAGTTCAATGTCTAATTAGATAAAATTATGTATCCCCTCATGTTACTTAGGATCCTTACGCGTGTTCAAGCCCTAAATCGACACTTAGCATCCTACCCGGCACATTCTCGTCTGGCGAGTTCATATCCCTACACCTTTTTCCGTGTTTTTCATGTTTTCAAGGGGAGGGGGGATACAAGCAAAGGTACAAGGAATCTTGTACTCAAAACTTATTATTTCGTATGAAATATTACATGTTCAGTATGATTTTGACACAAGAAACCGTATTACCAACCATTTAACTTGTAGAGTTTGATTTCAAAACTAAAACAAGGAATACTTGTGAAACTTATTATAAAATGATATTTTATATTTCACAAAGGATTTCATGCCGTTCATAAAACAGGATTTTCCATATCGTTACCTGTAAATTTGTTAATCTTAGAATTCGAGACACGTCGTTAGTAACACTCCCCAGAGATACGAGAGTGAAGGACCAATAAAACAGGATTTTCTGTATTATTACTTTCAAAATTCATTAAACTTAAGATTGGAGACACGTCCTTGGCAACACTCCCCTGAGGTACGAGAGTGTAGGACTACCCCTATAACCAGAATCTCCTGGAGGGAGAACGTGACTTGAGTGTATAGATCTCTACGGGAATGACTACCCTGCACCTGGCTGCTAGCTATAGTGGGACCGACAGGTCCACGGGTGACAAAAGTCATAAAATGATACTAGCCCCGTTACGAGTCATATCTAGTTTATTGTATGGTTATGGAACTCGCAACTTAGATAATGAAGATTTACTTTATTAATTATAAACCTAGTAAACTTACCTCAAAGTAATAACTGTTTTGATTACTAGAGGGTATTAGTAATACCCTTAGGAATTAGTTTACTACCTACTTATTAGTTTTATATACGTGTTAAAACTAACGTACTTTTCAAGGATAACCAAGCTTTCAGGGAAACTTCACTTAACGATACAAGTATGGTAGATACTTGTACACCTCAGTCCGGATCAATAACTAACCACCAACTTTTAATGAAAATAAGGGTTTTTCCTGGGATAACTTGACTTTTCATAAACAGGTTGTTTAACAAATGGATAACTAAACTTCTTTTATAAGAAAATATGGGATTTTCTTGGATAAAAACTTTTCATAAAACCAAAGGAAAACTTATTCTTTTACCATAAACAAACCGCTTATGAACTCACCAGCTTTATGCTGATATGTTAAAACTGCTTGTATTCTCAGGTTCTCGTTAGACAGGTACCCCGCGTTCTTTTGGAGAAGACAGAGCGTATAGAAGTCTCGTCTTTACTTTTGTTCGTACTGATGTATATATAAAACATGTATTACTTTGCTTTCAAACAAATGTAAATATTCCTATGTAATGTAATGGTTGTGTTTACTATGCTTGCTATGTACATTGGTTGTGATACTATACATGACGTTCTCCACCCCGGAACGTTTCCGCCGTCGGTTTTAGGGTGTGACACTAACTTCCTCTTTTTTGTATTCTTCTTCTTCTTTGAGATCTTTTTGGCCATATCCTCAACCCTTTGTTTCTTAGAGTGAGGAGAAACTGGAGCTGGGATTTCGCGTATAAGCACCCCTTGATGAGTAAGATGTGGTTTGCGAACAAGACTCGAAGTAGGAGAACCACCATACTTCAGCCTTAATTGACGTAAAACTCCAGTCTTTAAAGGAATTGTAACTGAAGTTGGTGAAGAGACAACAGGTTCAACAGGTACAACCGGTTTGCTCTCAACTTTCGAAACTTTCTCATCTGCCTTCGTCTTTGGAGACTTTGATGTCTTCGTGTCTTTAACTGTTGGCTCAAGAACGATGACCTCAAGCTTCTTCGTATTTCTAGACTTCTTTGAAGAACCCGCACCTGCTTTCGGTAACAATTTACCAGTATCAACTTTGGGATCAATTGTTGACATATAATCAATAAGTACAACATTGGTTGGGTCGACTTTCTTCAACATGGCATCTGGGATTCTTGCAACATGTGAAAAGATTTCTTGATCATGAGATACTTCCTTTGGAAAGTTATACTTCAAAAATTCAACTGTTTCCTCCTTAGCATCCACCAAAATTCCCTCTTTATCGTAGAAATATCTGAGGATAAGGCTCCAGTAACGTGCACAAGAAATCCCTTGGACGACATTTTTGTTCTCTACACGCTTTTGAAATTCTTTCCATAGATGTGTAGCATAATCCACTGGGATATCATAATATATACCCGCAACCATTGCATATACTTCCATCCTTCCTTTGTCGAGCCCAACACTTTGACCTGTTAAGCATCGAAGAAAAACTCCAAACAAGAAGTTTCAGATCGTTGGACGACCAGATTTTTTAAAATCACTAATCTTGGTGAGTGGGGGTTGATGACCCATCTCGTTGAACATGTGGTTCACTTGTGCAAAAGAAAGATTTATGAATGGTTGAGTGTTTGGAATATCCAAGATTTGACATAATATCTTCTTTGTCAGTCGTACCTTCTTATCATTCACCAGGTTGAAGGTGATAACATCAAGAGCTTTAGAATAAGTTGCAGTAGAACCTTCTTCTGAAAGCCAGGACAGAGGTACTGCAAAAGAATTGAACATTGTTGTAGAAAGAACACAGCTCTTCAAAGCAACAACTAACATCTTTAATCCTTCAGGGTATAGAGATTTATCCGCTTCTACTTGATAATTCGTTCCTTGAATCTTCATGATTGGTTATGAAGTAACATCTTTAGTGGTTTGGGACGGAACACCAATTTGAGTATCCATGATTAAGGTTGGAAAATCGTGTGAAGAACAACTATATTTTTTCAGAGAGAATTTTGGGAAATTTTCTTCTGAAAGCGTAAACTGATAACAAACCCTTGAATCCCTTTTTTATATTTATCCCTGATTTTTGAATTTGAAGCGGGATATGCATTTAATGAATCCGACGTGGCACCTTGAAACTCGTACCACTATTCTACTAAAGTAGCCATGCGTGAAAAAGTAACTGTCACTTCTCCTTGAAACCCGCATAAATTCAACACGTCAGTTCAAACAGCCTGTTTATTTCCCCAATAGAATAGGAACCATCATAAACCTTCAGATGGAGGTTAGACTCTTCCACTTTTGGGATTGAAAGTAAAGCCATGTGCCAGAGAAGAAGAAAAGAAGCAAATAACGAAAAACTTTCGTGAGTGCAGTATTCCAAAGAAGAAGATAAGAAGCAAATAACGAAAAACTTTGGATTTGTGATGTCAAAATTATTTCGACACAAAAGCAGTTAAACACCGGCCAAAAGTTACTTCATTAATTATCAACGCAGATAATCAACTGCTTGTATGGTTTCCCATGAATTACAATCGACAAATTATAGAGAAGTTTCGAATGGCTTCTTTTTCAAGGCTTCGTAGGTTGTTTAACAATTTCGTTACATATCATCCTTAATATAAGGTGAGTAATTGCAACAGAAATTACTTGTTTAACAAATGTAGTCAATAACAAGTATGCTTTAAATCAATATTGAAAGTGACATGAAAATCAAATGAAACTCACACTGAAACCATATTAAAAAAAAGTGTGTTGGATCTTGTTGGGTAACAAACCTCGTGGGTTTCGATAGTTTGATCAAGACCACTCATACTAAATGAATATGATTTGGAATTTCGAATGTAGGTACAAGAACAAAAGTTTCGTTTAATCATGTATAAAGTTCCCCGTCAATTCCTTAAAAAGTTAGAGAATTGAGTTTCACTTTCATCACGGTCTCATGACGTCAGATCATTAACACAGATTGTTGATATATCTAAGTCTTGATGTGTTTGATTAGAGACCTCTTGGATATATGTCTTCATGTGTGCATGTGTAAGAAATTTTGGATAAAAAAATTGGTTCAAGAAAGAAAATGTACCTCTATTATGTTGGACAAAACAGTAAACTCTTAACTCATGTAAGAAGAGTCAGGTAGCTCATGTGACCAATGTGAATACAAGCCTGTCTTGGGAAGAAATTTTCGTATGAAATATTTCATTAAGGCTTTCATTAAACACACATAGAGTCATTCGAGGCTTTGGTCAACATGCAGCAACATGCTTCTAGGGACAACTTAACTAGTACAAAGATTTTGAAGGATTTACCTGACCCTAGAACTGCAAGCATTTACCATTGTGATTCATCCTTGTTATCTAAAACAAAACACTTAAAACCAAACAATACAAAATAAAATATTTTTGTGATTTCTAATTTTTCGAAAATGAAAGACAAAACAAATGAAAAATCTTTTTTTTTTTTTTTTTTTTTTTGTGTTTTTCGAAAATAAAAGACAAAACAAACGAAAAATCTTTTTGTTGTTTTTGTTTTTTTCGAAAAAAAAATCAAGTTAAAAAAATATATAACATGTACTAGACACACAAAAATTTTAATTCCAACTTACGAAGACGAAGGGTATCGAAGCATTGACTGTGAACAGTAACCATTGACTTTTGATAGCTGTCCAGTTTTAGCTGTTCTTTCGAAACAAATCCCCCTTCGACCATTCCAAGTCCGCCTAAAATTCTCACAAATGATTTTTCATCTAAAGGTTTAGTGAAAATATCAGCCAATTAATCAGTGGTTTTCACGAAATGCACTTCAATGTTACCATCCTCTACATGATCTTTTATAAAATGATAACGAAGAGCAATATGCTTAGTCTTCGAATGCTGCACAAGATTATGAAAATACGAATTGCACTTTGAGAAACACAATATAATGGAATCCTTTTCATATTAATTGCATAATTACGCAATTGACTTTGAATCCAATTATTTGTGATGTGCAAGCAGCAGCAGCTACGTATTTAGCTTCAGCAGTCGAAATTGATACACACGTTTGTTTCTTTGATTTCCAGCTTACTAATTTCCCATCCAGTAATTGACATCATCCACTCGTGCTTTTACGATTAAGATTACAACCACCCAAGTCAGCATCTGAGAAAGCTTGAATAAAGAATCCAGTTTTCGAAGGATACCACAATCCTAACGAAATTGAGCCTTTGAGATAACAAAAAATATTCTTGACTGTAGTGAAATGTGGTTCTCGTGGATTTGATTGGTACCTAGCACAATTACACACATAAAACATGATATCAGGTCTACTAGCGGTGAGATAAAGTAATGAACCTATCATGCTTCGGTAAAGATTTAAGTCAACAACTGGTTTATCTAACGAAGGTGTAAGCCATGTTCCAGTTGCCATTGGTACTCGTAATTTTGTGTTATTCGTCATTCCAAACTTTTCAAGCAGATTCTTTGTATACTTCTCTTGGATGATAAAAAATGCCTTCTCTACTTTGACGAATATTTAAACCAAGAAAATTATTTACCTTCCCCATCATGCGGGGGTTGTTTCACATATACAGTCTCTTCGAGTTATCCATTTAAAAATGCACACTTCACATCCATTTGATAGACATCAAAACCTTTTTGAGCTGTATAAGGTAAAAATATGAACAACCTCCAGTCTAGCAACAGGGGAGAAAGTTTCTTCAATTTTAGAAATGAAAACATTGAACATGCAAAATTCTTGATGAGTATTTAATACCTCATTCTTTGCACGAAGTTGAGCTCTCGTTAAAACTCCATCTTGTCGATTCCCAATTACTTGTTCTTTCGGATGATCTTTTGTCCATTTTTCGAGTGGTGGATATGCTGGATCAAAATCCAAATGTGCATCTTCGTATAAATCTTCATTTTTGGATCCTGCAACAGAAAGAATATCATTTATATCATGAAATTCATCAGTTTGATAAAAACTTATTGTATCATTGTTATTATTATTCTGTTGCTCCCCCTGAACTGGATGCTCCCCCTCAACATCTTCATTCTACTCCTATTCTCCCCCTCGAAAGGATGCTCCCCCTCAACCGGAGTAGTTGAATCCATGTGCTCCCCCTCCACTGGATCATTATGCATGCTTTCACCAATTTCCAGAGAACTCGATGTTGAAATATGATCAGTAATAATTGGAGTGGAATCTGAATTATCAGTATGCTTCGAAGATTTAGATTGGTGATTATCATTTGCATGATCTTCAGCATTCACAACCCTGTCAAGAAACACCAAAAATTAAATCATAATCATAATCAAATGAATTCAGAATTTTAGATTCATTAATAATTGGCTTTTGATCAAAAAGTTTGTCAACTTGTTTAAGATGATAGTCATCAAAAGTCAGATTGAAGGTTTCTTCGATTTTTCTTGTACGCTTGTTTAACACTCTGTAAGCAACCGAATTGTGCAAATATCCCAAAAATATTCCTTCATCAGCTTTCACTTGAAATTTTGAAAGATTATCCTTGAGATTCATGATAAAGCACCTGCAACCAAACACATTAAAAATTTAACATTTGGTTTTCGGTTACTGATTATTTCATATAGAGTGATATTAAACCGTCGATGAATAAAAGATCGATTTTGAGTAAAACAACCTCTTGACACCGCTTCGGCCCAAAAGTATAGTGGAAGATTCGCATAAGTCAACATTGTTCTTGCAGCTTCGCATAGATACCTATTTCTTCGTTAAACTACACTATTTTGCTGTGGTGTATATGGTGACGAAAAATTATGTGAAATACATTTTTCTATTAAGAACGAATCAAACACTTTATTCTTAAACTCAGAGTCATTATCACTTTTGATTTTTCGAACACTTTTCTTCATACTTTTCCCAATTTTTTTGATAAACTCAATCATTGTTTGGGCAAGTTCATATTTTAACTTGAGAAAATATACCCACGTAAATCGTGAAAAATCATCAACAATAACCAAAATGTACCGTTTCTTGTTAAGTGTTTCAACAGTTGATGGTCCACAAATGTCAATGTGAAGAAGTTCCAACGGTTCCACAATTTTCGAACCTATCACAATTGGATGTCCTTTGCGATGTTGTTTCCCTTGTTCGCAAGCTCCACATAAAACATCATTATAAAATTTTTATACTGGTAAGCCTCGAAC